GGGAAGGGAAGGGAAGGGAAGGGGGAGGAGGGTGGGAGGAGAAGGGAAGGGAAGGGAAGGGAAGGGAAGGGAAGGGAAGGGAAGGGAAGGGAAGGGAAGGGAAGGGTGCTGAGACTCCACTATCATTACTCAAAGAACTTGCAGATTCAAAGTGTTGAGAGGAAGAAGAGGGAGAGGAGTTGATTCATTCATCTTTCCCTTCCTCAGGAAACCAGAGTGAAACCCACAACCAGAACAGCCTGAAGGAGACATCTCAGATGTCCCTTTTGAGCACGGGAGGTCAGGTGCCAGAGGGTGCCTGGCACGTGGARCTCAGGGCAGTGCAGGGACTGCAGTGACAAATGGCGAGTGCATTTGTGGCTTGGGCAGGAGGCCTGGGCAGTGACACAGTGGCCATGGCTTGGCACAGTGGCCCCTYGGCAGCCACGTGATGCCCACATGCCATTTGCAGCTGACCTGCCCCTCAAATGATTCCCTGTGGCTGCTAAAAGGTGTCACTGATGAAAGGYAAAACACTGATCCAGCATTTGTGAGCATCATCCTGCAGGGATGGGAGGTACCAAAGGTGATTCTCTGGGAATTCTCTGGGATTCTCTGGGAATTGAGCTGTAAACAGCAGACATTTAAAGCACAGTTTGTCGACACAGATTTTAAAATAATAACATTGATTGCTCATTTGATAGTCACATTGCAGCAAAAAGCACACGTAACATCCATCAAGTAATTCAATTAAATGTGGGAAGAACTGTCACCATGAAAAACAATGCTAAAGAGGCAGAGAGAGAGAGAAAAAAAAATCAAAATAAGGAGCAGGTGCCAATTGCAGACRGAAAACCCCCTCTGTATAGATTTGGTCACATTTTAAATTATTTTTTTCAGCTCTTTGAGAATAAACAAACAATTTGTCAAATGTGAAAAAAAACCCCATTGCTCTGGGGTTTTGTTGTGCTCTGAACCTCAACAGACATCTGATCATCCAAGTGAGGAACAGTCTGGGGATAAACTGGGACTTTTCGGCAAAACCTGGTCCCCTTCAAAGTAGAGACAACTTTACTATAGCTCATGGAAGTGCACAAATGGGAAGGTTTGCAAGAAGGAGTCTCAGTGGTRTTGGTTTCAGGGTAAAGGCAGAGACTGCCATAAAAGAAGAACTGCCCAAAACATGAGGTGGCTGTAAAACACTGCTGGTTCAAGAAATACCAAAATAAAATGCCATCTTGCTGCTTTTTCTGCACATCCGGACACCTTGAAAACAGGAAGGGGTTAAGGCATCCAGTGTGAAAAGTCTGTTCTTATCCACCACAGTATTGACAGGAAAGAACAAAACAATCCTCAAACAAATTAAGAAAAAACCTCAAATCCCACAATGCCAAGATGATCTTGTAAAATCAGAACCTTCATCAGAGCTGAGCTCTCTCTGCAGTGACATGCCTGATGTCACACAGAAAGGGTGGGGCAGATGTGGAGTCCTGTGTCCTGTCCTGCCCCTGGGGCTGGATTTTTCAAGAGCACCTTGCCCTACCCACCRCTCRACCACACACACACACCAAAAYTCCTCTGGCATATCAGGATGCCAGCTCGAGTGAAGGCACAGCTCCTTYCACCGTGCCAGTGCCAGCTCCTGCATTCACCCCTCAGCTCTCCTGCTGTGAGACCATTGGCACTCAAGGCTGGACATTGATGGGGAATCACCAGAATCYCTCTGGAGCACTCCCTTTGTGTGCCTTGATGGCAACATCACAGGGCAGGTGTTTCAGGCAGTCACGTACCTTTCACAGAGAGCTGGTAGATCATTTTATCCCCCTCGCAGACACACTCGTAAGCTCCAGCATCCTCCTCGGCCGTGCTGCGGATTTTCAGGATGCGCCTCTTCCCCAYGGTCTGGAGCTCGTATTTTTCACTGGCCTTGAGCTCCTTCCCATCTTTCATCCACTTCACAGTGGCCTCTGCGTCTGAGAGCTCAGCCTGGAGTTTGGCTTCCTCCCGCAGCCGAGCAGAGACCTTTTCTACRTCTTTGGTCTTGTTGGTGAATCTCACTGCAGCACCTGCCAGGGCAAGAGGCTTTGTTATTTCGAGTTATATGCAGATAACTTATCCCTGATATGGATCTTCTGTGGACCTCTGAAAGTGTTAGACTCTGTTCCTGCCCTCACACTCCTGTCAAAACTGAGTGGTTTTTTGAAGTTCAGAAAATTTGATGGTTTTATTGCCAGAGTCACTAAGAAGAAAAAAACTCACTTTTCTTTTCTACTGATGAATAATATTCTAAACATGCTTCCGCAGAGATCTTCTCCCAAAGCCAAACACATTATTCCAGAATAAAGGATTCATTATCAATTCATGGTGTTTTGCCATGCAATGTGGTAGGCACAGATTTTACTGTCATTTCATAGAGAAAAACCTGATCAGAAATCAAATTCCAGGATTTGTACATCCCATACATGCTGGACTAAAAAACCTACAAGAAAAGCTTTGTTAGCAATTAATGCTCCTTTACTTTTGAAAGACTATTACAGTCAAAGAGACTGGTCAAACCTGGAGCTGAAATTAGGATTTTAAGGTGAATTAGTGGCAGATTTGGTGACAGAATCCACTGAATGATGGTTGTGAAGGACAGAAATTTGGCAGAAATCTGACAGAAATCTGTGAGCTGTTACAAAGCRCTCTGATTCAGGTATCACCAGCTGGTGAGATCAACTCTGAGCTCTCATCTGAGAACATTTCCAGGACCCACATTAACCACATGACACAATTCCAGGTGCTTCCCACACACCAAGGAAAGCCCCCAGCCCCAGTTCMCATCATCAGGTCCCAGCAACCGCCCCTTGACTGGGAGAAGAAAGGACAGTGATGAACAATAAATACCTTTCACTCTCATCTTGGTGCTGGTGTCAATGTCATTGGCAACAAATCTCACTTCTGCCCCGTCATCTTTCTTGGTAACGTTCTTTATGATCAGGGTGTGGGTGGTTTGGGTTCTCTGGATGATGTGGGTCTCACTCTCCTGTAGGACTTTGCCATTCAGGTACCAGGTGCCAGAACACACCTTGGTAAGGTCGACAGTGAACAGGGCATCCCCTCCAGGGGCAACTTCAGCTGCTGTCAGGGGAGTTCTCACAGCCAGGACAGGTTCTGGGGAGGAAAAACACATTTCTGAGAACAAGACAGCACTGTCATGCTGGAGGATACTTCACCCTAATAASAAAGGTCTCAGGGTAAACAAGACATGAGAATAAATTCACACAGCCTCATACAATTGTCATGCACTGAAGGTTTGTCTGCAGGATTTGTTTCCTTCAGCCACAGTAAGTGACCTCTGGAGTCTTGTCTTTGCAGGTCAAGAACAACAGACATATTTTATGGTTTTGTTTTTTTGTAATCCCAAAAATTTATAGAGGCATAAGCCAGAAACACCCAGGTCCCCCTACAAGTGTGCTATTGATTTAACAGCCAATATTGTTCTTAGATTTTAGAAGGAGTGACTTCTGGATATCCTTACTAGTCACTTCTAGATATTCTAGGACAACACAAGTGTGTTCAGACAGCAAGAGAAAAGGGTGGCACAATGACAAAACAGTGCATGATCAAAGCTTATGTGGCTGCTCAGCATCTGTACAGATATTTTCCAGTGCAGTGAATCAAAGAAAGAGGAAATCCAATTGCACCCTATGATTCTATGGGCACACTGGCATCCTAGAAATAAAGCAAACCACCTGGATTTCTCCTGGAAACTCTACAGTTAAAGAGAGACTGGCTGAAAATTGGTTTTCATGATGGTGTGATCACCCATAAACATTCTCTAGGTACAAGATCTCATGGTCTATGTAGCAGGATCGCTATCTCATGTCTATCTATATTGAAAATTATATCCTAAGGCCACCTCAATTATTCCTTTCATTGCAGGTGAAGAAAAAGCACGCACAGGTTTAAATCCCCAGCAGGGAGCTCTGCGTGTCCCACAGCCTGATGTGGGATATTGGAATATGAACACACCCACAGCATTACYACAGAAAACCCAGCCACCACCACTTTGGGGGTTTTGGACTTTTCTCTCCCTCACTTTGGTGGAGCTCAGTGGTTGGCATGACGCAGGAGAACCAGCAGTGAAAGGAAAGAGGATTTGCTGGGCCATTGCTCCATCCTCAAAGTCATGAAAAATGTTTTTAAAGCACCCACGTGTCCCAGCACCCCGTTTTCGTGCTCACCAAGGTGCAGGCTGCCAGGGAATTCCAGGAAGGGGCTCTGTCCGTAGGCGTTGACCGCGGACACTCTGAACTGGTAGTCAGCCTCCTCTGGCAAGTGGCTCACGGTCAGCTCGGGGACAGGGACATGCGACTCGTGGCACCTGACCCAGGTGAAGCCGGTGAGCTTCTTGCGCTCCACGATGTATCCATCGATGGGAATGGGCCGGTCCATCCTCGGAGGGGACCATGCCAGAGTCACTGAGGTTTCTGTTTTATTTTTCACCACAGGGTCAGCTGGGGCTTGGGTGGGAGGTTTTTTGGGAGCTGAGCAGGGGAAAGAAATGAAGCARAACAAAGCAATAAGTTCACATCAGAGCAGAAAAGCTGAAATAGCTTGCACTGGACTAAAAGTCAGGCTTGCTTAAATAAACRGCCATAAAACATTGATGTGATATGGAAAAGCAAGAGAATGGATGGAAGATGCTTTTGGGCTGTATCACACAAAGATCACAGGATCACCATCATCCAATATCGAGTCCAAACCAATGTTCAGTACTTGTGTCTCCAGAGCTAAAAATCTGTGATTTCTTCACAATATTACAAATGTCAACACAGACAGAGAGTCTTCAACAAACATTTCATAAAATTTAGTTTGCAGTCCTGGGCATAGGCTCACACTTCTGCCCTAGACAGCTCCTGCACAAAGCAGACTAACACTCAGCTTCTTATTTTCTCTCAAAAAAAATGGGTAAAACCATCGGCAAAGGTTGTTCAAACCTTTTACAGAGGGCTCAGCGTGGTACACAGATTCAGATGTTCTCTGCAGCCTCTTTCATCTGGGTTCTGAATTTTATCTGTCCTGCTCCTGAATTTTCTGTCACCTTCACTCAGAAGGTGTGTGATAACTGTGTCTCCCAAGAGGGATATCATTTGAGATCTGTGTTTTGCTAATTTATGTAGAACCAGCTTTTGGGATAGGGAGTTAACTTCAAAAAGAAGTTACATAAAAACATGTCCCCACCATGAGATCTTACCATTGAGAAGATGTGGCTCCTGTGTACCTGAGACCACAAACTTATTCCTGCAGGTATTTACATAATATTTATTTTTACCTTTTCTTTCCTCTTGAAGCCTTTAGAGGAGGCCCAAGTTCCATCAGAATTATTCAGTACGTGCTGCCAGTGATATGGTCATGAGGAATTATCTGATATGCTCTAGTTACACCTCTACTGACATGGCAAAGGATTMATTTCATTTAATTTTGGCTATTTGAAAGGTGTCTGTGTTAAGTCAATCAACCAGRCTCCAGCTGTGAYCCCACAGAGAACAGCACAGCCAGAAGCAATTAATCCCAGCTTAAAGAAGGGTGGGAGATGGGTGAAACAATCACACAYTACTGTAGTGGGAGCCTGCTGATGAGCCTAAATTAAAAAGTAAATTAAAAAATTAAAACAACTGATYGCCTTTCTGCYTCAGTTTACCCATCTGTAAAATGGGCATGGTAACCATGTGAGATACAGAGCAAATAATGCACAGACATTGTCTGTATATTTTATAATTAGCACAGCCACCACCAACCTCACTGAGCTAATTGAGAAAGGTGTGGGCATAGCACACAGGATCCACCAAGCGGTAAATCCRATACGCCCCAAGTGTAAAAATAGGAAATCTCAGGGCGATGTGCTTTTCCTTCCTTACATAAATAGGCTCAGGAGTGTTTTGGGGTGCACAGTTACCAGCCTGTCAGTAACTGCTGCTCGCAGATAGATGTCAAAGGTCCCCCTAGGGTAACATTATGCTGAACACTAAGCCCCAGAATGCRATCTCTTGACCTTGCCATCAGAAAYGGTAATGCAATATTTTCTTCRGCGATACCTGTTTGTGGGAAGGCAGCTTCTTATGTTTTCTGTTTCATGAATCAACACTTCCTTCATAATTCAGACAACAGAGTCTGAAATCAAACTGTGCTTTATTGTTCCTATTGCAYAGGTGCTTGTTTGGCTGTTACAGCTTTACAAATACCTTAGAAACTCTCACAAAGCCAAATGTGACACTTCTCTCATTTTTACCTCATTTCAGTTCAATAGCAACAGAATGGTCCAACAAAGTTTAGATAACAMAGCAATTATAAATACTTAAATTAAAGATTCCTTTTTGCCACTGACCAATTGCAGTGGTGGGAGAAAAGAAGCATTACTCTTCCCAAATTGTGACTGGCACAGATGATTTGTTCATRTATGAACCAGAACCGCAGCAGAGCCAGAAAACACATCTATTTCTGTCTGAAATGAAGCAGATGTTGCCTAGGAAATGCAGCGTCATCAAAATAATGCCAAATAAAATTAGACAACTTCTCCAAAATTTTGTTTTCGAACCAGTCTCAACTACATTGCACATGCTGCTGCTCTGTCAAGTAAGATATAGGTCTGTKCTGTGCTCTTTTCCCAGGACTGCTCTTGCCCAGAGAAACTGTGGATGCTTCATCCCTGCAAGTGTTTAAGGCCAGGCTGGACAAGAAGCTGAAAAACTTGGTCTATAGTRTAAAGTGTTCCTGCCCATGGCAGGGGATAGAATGAGATGATCCCATCCAACCCAWGCCAATTCCTTGATTCTACAGATATTCTCTCTGTTTTGATCCCTCCAAACATCTCACAACACTCAGAGTCAGCCTGTTGGCTTTTTGTGGCAGACATCAAACCTTCAGCTGGTTTTGGACACCAAACCTGAAACAACAGTGCCACCACCACAGGAGCAGCCGTGACAAGACACAGCACCAGGGCCAAAGAAAAGAGAAGCTTACTGGTCACAGTGAACTGGGTGGAAGTCCTGCTTTCGTCGGCCACAAAGGCGATCTCCCCAGCATCCTCCACCTTACACTCGCGGATGGTCATGGTGTGCTGTTTGCCGGAGCGCGTGATGGAGATGCGGTCGCTGGGTTTCACCTCTTCCTTGTTCTTCAGCCACCGGACGTCCTGGCAGTCRCTGTCCAGCTCCACGCAGAAGGTGGCTGTGTCGTTGACGAAGATGGCGGTTTTCCGTGGAAGTTTTTTAATGATGTTCCCTTCAGATCAGAAAGGGATCGCAGTCAGAAAATAGAAATAATAARAACTTTGGCGGCACTGGACCATCCAGACCGAAACAGGACCAGTCCACACGCAATCAAATAATCATGGTGTCATTATGGACACCATGCAGACACCTGCAAATGAATTCCAAGGCTCTGAGTCACACAGAACAGATGGTCCCAAGGACCCATTTTGGCCTTCAAAGAGAGAAAAGCAGATCTTGTTTGACTGCAGTCACTCAGGTTTCTTGCCTACCAAGCAGAGTCTGCTGCTGGATAAACAAGATACACATGGCCTTGCCAAGAACAGATTTGACAGCTTTCATTGCCCACRTATGCTGGGAATTCAAATTTAAACTTTGCTAGAACAGGTCAGCCCTAAGCCAGACAGGTCTCCCCTCTGCTTTTGGGATTTTGCCTTCATCAGAGTTACCAGTAAATTACATAACCAACATGGCAGACACACCAGGCACGTGAATTAATGAGAAATACACTGAAAACCTCGGGTTTCTTCTTTGTGTCAACACAGAAATTCACATTGCATGAATTTATGTCCTTTCCAAGTGATTGCGATTGCCATCACTTACTAGGATTACCTCAAAGMTCTAAGATATGGCTGTTCATAGGAAAGATTGGACAAAACTTCAGAAACCTCCCCAAAAGACAGCTGGTAGCTGGCTCCAGCTGCAGAGCAGTCACTGTGAGCTGACAAGCTTTGCCCAAGCAGATCATTCTGAGTTGTGTAATGAGCAGCAATTCTAAAATCCCTCATAAAGCAACAGATCAGGCACAGGTTTCATGACAAGATTCTGATTTTCTGCTTCTCCTCCTCCTTGACCTCCCTGCCCTCAGCAGTGCCCCTTTCCCAYAGTTCTTTACCTCTGGCACCATGCCAACCCCACCTTGCTCTCTCAATCCCCTCCCAGGACAGGCACAAGGCTGCCCCAGGAAGGCTCTGATCCTCTCCCTCCRGAGAGCTCCACCTGGCTCAGTCACTCTCTTTGGCATGGAACATACCATTATAGCACAAACAAGTGAAAAAAATACCAGCTGTCCTGCTGGGCCAAACACACTCACAGGGTCTGGCTGTTCCWAACCTGACAGAAGGTGCAACAGAAAGATGCCAGTCTCAACTCCCCTGTGCTTCCAGACTAGATTTTCCCCTCTRCATCCACCTATGTGTACTCCCAGATCGTTCCTGGTGGTACAAAAAGGAATTTGCACAATGATGACCATCACCTAGCTGTCTTGGAGTGATTTATATGTGGAGAAATCCTTCTGGTTCCCCTGGGAGTATAATCAGGCTTCCAGTGAGCCAGGTCAGGAGCAATCTGTGGCTGTGAGACATCTCCAGTGCCTGCAGCTCTGAGATCTGCGTGTACTCACAGCGAGACACCTACACCACACCTCCTCCCACTTCAGYCTGAAACCACCAGACTCAGGACAACTGGACATGGATTTCCACACTTTGTCCTTTCCTTGTCACCTTCTCAAACTACAGGAAACAGCTCCAGCCACCAGGGATCTGGAGTATGGGTGTGTTCTCCTGCCAGCGATCTGGAGTGTGGATGTGCTCTCCAACCTAAACCATCCTGGTGCTGACTGCAGCCTGCACCACACATCTGGCCACGAACCACATCTGCTAAACCCACTGCCCAGTGTGGTCAGCAGCACTTTTGGACAAGGCTCACCAATTCACTCACTGGACAATGGACAAGACACGTGTGACAGTGTCGAGGACACTTGGGGTCCCAAGGACACTTGGGGTCCCCGGGCCCCGGTCTTATGCTTGGGGTCTTTAAGGAGAGTCTGCAGGGCCAGGCTACAGCTCAAGAAAACCTTCAGCAGGGCTGCACCAACATGAGCTGTCCCTGCTGTGTGACCCTGTGTCCAGGAACCCCAGGAACCCACTGACCACCCTCTCACACCATAAGGGACCCTGCTCCTCTTCAGTGCCCACATGGGCAGGGTAAGCACCGCTCATGAGGTTGAGTCTGGGCTCTCACGTGTGAACCTCACACTTGTGGCCAAGCTAAAGCACCGAGAGCCTTTCTCACCTTGGACAGAGAGCTCTGCGATGGTCCTGCTGCCCTCCTTCATCTCGCAGATGTAGACGGCGTCGTCGTCCGCGGTGACGTTCTGCACGGTGAGCCGGCGGTAGGTGCCCTCCTCCTCGATGTTGTACTTCTTGCTCTGCTGCAGTTTGGTCTCCTCCTTGAACCAGGCTGTCTCTGTCGCAGCAAYGGGCACCTCGCACTGGAAGGTGGCAGATTCCTTCTCCCTCACTTCRAGATCCCTCAGTTTTGCCTTGAAGGGTATGGACGGTTCTTAAGAGGGTAAAAACAGAAAGGAGAAATGAGAGTTTGTGATGAGAYTAGGCCTAGATGGGATTTTAGGAAGAAATTATTTATKCTGAGAGYGGTGAGGCTSTGGCACAAATCACCCAGAGAAGCTGTGGCTGCTCCTGRATCCCTGGAAGTGTCCAAGGCCAGGCTGKAGCAAAGCCTTTSAAAGGAATYCTGCTAGASCTGGGTCAACAGCAAACAAACYGGTCATGGGCAGCAATTCCAGGTGGGAGTGAGCAGCTGAGCTGGTCAGCCGATGAAAGAACCAAAGTTTTAGGGGTCTGGCAGCAGAAAAAAACTCAGCAGAGTGATCTGAATGGRCACAGAGAGGTGAGAAGTGGCTGTGCACAGGTCAGGAATGAGTGAAAACACAAATGGAGGAGTTTTTAGCTCTCTCCACCAGCACCAACGRCTCTGTTTGTCAACAACAATAAAAKAAATTGAGAAYGAGCCCCAGTYTCCCCCTGCCCCTGCCCTCCTGCAGCAGTGGGGCTGCAGCACTCTGGCCCAGGGCCAAACCCAARCATAGATCAAACACACAAAGCAGCTGCCTGACAGTGAGGGAAGTCATTTCAGGGGCTGAACAATGCTGAATTCCARCGACAGCTGCGCTGTGACATCACCCTGATACCCCAGCCCTAAAGTGGAGARAGGGAGCTGGATGAAGAGGACAGGCGGCGGTCACGGCCATGGGATTGGTGCCACAGCCRTGTCACAGGCTGACACAGTGCTCGTGCTTTGGGAGAGATCACRCCTTGGTATGTCCCTTCCCCTTCTGCTAACAGCTGGGCCAGCTCCCAGCTGATTTCTGTGACTCCATCCTGCCTCACCACCTTCACAGTAAAGAATTTCTTCCTGATATCTGCCATAAACTTCCCCTCTTTCAGTTTGAATAAGACACCAGACGCTAAAGGCCCGACAGTACACCTGGAGTGAGCAATGCTATGGTCTACCTTGGTTGTTATCCAGAGGTTAAAACCTGGCTGGGAATCCAAAAAAATATGTCCAGGAGCAGGAAGGTGGCACTAACTCACCATGTCACYTTGGCCATATTTTTTAAAAATGTTTTGCCTAAATGCACCTCAGTTTAAGGCAAGTCAAAGCCTTCAGCTGTGGTTACACAGAGCTGCTCTGCCCACTCTCCACACTTCAGATGGGGATTATCTCTTTTTGCTTTCTTTTCCTGAAAGAGAGCAGGATTAGATGAGATATTATGATAAATTCTTTATTCTGAAGGTGGTGAGGCCCTGGCAGACGGTGCCCAGAGAAGTTGTGGATCCACAACTGGATCCCTGGCAGTGTCCAAGGCCAGGCTGGACATTAGGGCTTGGAGCAACTTGGGATAGAAGTGGGTAGAAGGAGATGAGGTTTAAAATCTCTTCCAGTCCAAACCTGGGATTCTGTGAGGCCAAGAAGGCTTTTATCAGAACGATGCAGCCCTCAGACAGGAGAGAGGCTGGAGCTGACAGCGGGAACACACAGAGCTGCACGAGGGCCAAAAAGAAACAAGCTGCACCTGAGAAGCACACAAGTGCACTGCCACACTTGGAGCAGCTGGCCATATCATCATCCCTTCTCCCTTTACAGTCACTAAGCACTACCAAAAGTGAAAAAATAAATTTTAAAAAAAAGCTGTTCTGGGTAAAAGCTCTGAAATGAACAAGCCCAGAAGAGTTGGTTGACTCTTATGAAGGGGTTGCAATAACAGTGCTGCTCTTGCAGACAGGGAAAAAGGCAGCACAAGGCTATGTTTGGCAGACTGGGGATCACAGATACCCTCTGAAAACAGCTCTGCTTTCATCCTGCTGACATGTGCACACACATCCTATCTGCCTCTGAATGGAGGTTCAGAGAGACAGCAGCTGATAAACTGCATCGAAACCCAGCATGAACCCAGCACATGGCTTGGGAGATGGGAGAGTGGCTCCCAAACCCACCAGGCTGCTCCTCCTGAGCGTATCTCCATGCTCTTTACGAGGTCTAGAGCGTGCCKGCTCAGGCAGAGGGGGTTGGGTTTGGTCAGGGGGCTACAGAAGGAGTGCAGGTCTCCTGAGAGCAGCACCCCAAATAATCTGGCCCATAACCAGCCCCTTGCCTGATTCAGAGAGATGCAAATAAGAGAAAACAGGAGAGCTGCAAAAACCAGCCAAAGGGAAAAATGTGAAAGGCACAGCAGAGCAAACCCCTGAGCAAGAGCAGCTCATGGAATTAGCAGGAAACTGCAGGAACTTAGGTCAGAGATTAMTTTTGCTGCTCATCCTGAGGAGGTATTTCTCCAGACCATCATAGGCTTTTCTRTTTGGTCCCTAGCAAGCAAACTGGCAATGAGATGATGTTATTTTTAAAAAGTAAGTCCTGCTAACACATATTTTGCTAAGAATAGGTGCAGCCTGCAGAGAAGCCAATGTTTTCTTAACCTTCTCAAGGCACATCTGTCCTCTGGACCTCACTTTCTCACTTGCCTACATTTCCTCTTTCTTTTTGCAGGAATTCCCACATTTATAATTACAGAGGCAAGTTTTCCCTCTGCCTAATGAAAACGACCCAGGAAAGGTGAGAATATGGAAAATCCTCCCCAACAAGTGCTGGCTAAAGGTGGATGGACAGGTTTCCACCATCTCGTGCCTTTGATCCTCCTAGTTACTGTGCCTTCCATCCTCCTAGTTACTGTGCCTTCCAAGTTTCCTTCTCCCTCCCTATTTCTCAAGTTGCAGCTCTCTTTCAGATCTCCAACGTGACTGTCATGACACTGGTCACCCAAAATCTCATCTGATCAGAGGGAGAGTGGAGTGGCCTCTGTACCAGGGTGTTTTTACCGTCTCTATCCTGTTTGGCTGGTAAACTTTGACCTTCTCACCCAGTATCTAGTTACTTTATTCAGGGACTCCAGCGAACACRGCTTGGCCCAGGATGGAGACCTGAATTCTGTTCTCACTAACTTTACACACAGCCTAGGGGAATCTCCAAAGCCTTCAGGAAACCCTGGCTGGTTATTTATGTTCCTCCCACCCTCCCCTCTCCTTGGTTTGTTAAAGGTTTGCTCTTGGGAAGAATTTCCCAACTCATTTYATATCTGTCCCTGGTTAACATTTATCCCTGTTCCAGACATATTTCTTAATCTRATCAAGCTTCAGTTTTCCTTATTTAGGAGAGTGATCTTCTGCCTTGCACCTTCTCCTTGAAGATTTAGGTCTGTTTTGCTAAATCTCATTTAGGAACAGCTCAAAAATCCCATTTTTTTCCCAGTTCAGTGATCTTTAAGGCATGGGCTCAGCAAAGTGTTCACAAGTGTTGGGTCCCTGGCTTCTTAGGTCCCTAGGATCTACACTGACAGAGTATAGGAGGCTTTCTGTAGATGTGCCATCCCTGGAATTGTTCAAGGCCAGCCTGGACAGGGCCCTGAGCACCTGATCTGGTGAGTGGCATCCCTACCCATGGCAGGAGGTTGGAATTAGATATTTTTTTAAAGGTCCCTTCCAGCCCAAACCATCCTGATTCTGTCATTCTAAGAGTGACTGATTAGAGAATCCAACTCTTCCACATGACTGAGCAAAGARAAGTTTGCATGGCAAGGTGATCTCCTGATCTCCCTCCCTAAACCCAATGGCAAACGAGCCAATGGCATCACCAGTGACGTAAACAACAGAATTAAAAGTTCTTTTTCCTGCTGCATCGTTCTGGCCTGTCTTGGGAGGGCTGAGAAGAACTCCTGGTGACACAAAGGAGGGTCATTTATCAGGGCCTAATAATAACCAACACACGTAGATTTTCCATGGCAAGCCTTGGCCTGGACAGAGCCAAACGTGGCGCAGCGTAACAACGAAACAATCCATAAACATTTCCACTCCAGCCTCTGACTCACGGGCGCCTCTGCACAACGGACACGGATCAATAACCTTCTCCCRTGGTGCTTGCTCCCAGCCTGGCTGCTTCCCATGCTTTCCCCACCTCCTTTGGAGCAGGTTGCAGCCACTGAGAAAAATCAGATAMGCACAAGCAGAGTGGGGCTGTTTGGTTTTTTTTTTTTTTTTTGCAAGGGCAGGGAACAGAGCTCAAACCATCCTCAAAATGATCACCCACCCAAGGGCCAGGATTGAGCTTCAGCTCCAAGTACCCAGCTCGTGAAGTAATCATGGTTTTATGGGAGAGGACAAATGCCCTTCCCAACACCACTCAGCACCTCCAAGGGACAGCAATGGGTGGGACAAGAGCCAGTGAGTCCCACGGATCAGGTATCACTGATGGACACMRGSACTGAGCCACTGACAGAAAAGACCCTGAGTGCAAAAGGAGAGGTCCAAAAAATCAAATAGAAGCTGAGAGTCTTGAGTATGAAGACAGATCTCTCCTGCTTATTTGGATTTCTAATTTATTTTGTAAAGCATCAATTTTACCCCTCAAGTGGCAAAATCCTTTCACATCTCCTTTACAGGTGTTGTCTGGGTTGCAAACTGCCTGCTGCCCCCTTGCCAAGTGGGAGAGCAGCTGGAAAACTTAGASCTTCCTGGATTGTTTGAGGCCAGGTTGGAAGGGGCTTGGAGMAAACTGGTTTGGTGGAAGCTGTCCCTGCCCATGGCAGAGRGTTGGAATGAGATGATCCCTCCTAACTCAAACCATTCTGGGATTCTATAAAAATTCTGTGTCACTCTGAAGAAGTTGGTCTGACCTCCAGCAGTGTGGAGGGACCCTCTGAAGGCAGGTTCTTCATCACTGACTACAGCAAACAGAGGCATCCCAGACCTGGCAGATTTTCTGGGAGCATGCAAGGAACACAGGTTATCCAGCAACACAAGGGACAAGGCTGGAGAGGCTGGCAAGAACAAGGCTGCTGGTGGCTCACTGCACAGGAAAACTGAGCTGGACTGTAATTAGAGTTGGAGAGGGTGCCCCAGGGGATCCAAGGCAGCCTTGTAGGGAGGGGTTTCCATCACTACTGTAAACGGCACGTCTGAGTGAAACCCGCGGTGAACACAAACCCAGTTGTGGCTGAAGCCCAGAGGGTGGAACGGGGCACTGGCAGCCACTGACCCAGAGCACAGGAACAGATCTCTTACATCACTGCAAAGCCAGGACTGACAGAGCTCTGGTGCCTCCCAGCTGCCYCACAACCAGCCAGTTCCACCTCATACCCCCCTGCCTGACACTTCTTTAATGCTCTTCCTTGAAAACAGCCAGTGACAGGACTCTRCCCAGGTCCTCTATCCAAGTGCAAAAACCCCTTCCCCCTGGAAGGCTTTACCCACACGTAACCACACTCCCCTGCAGCAGTTTGGTAGCAGCAGTTTTGTTCAGGCCCCCACCCCAATTCAGAGGTGTCTCCTCGCAGGCACACCCACCCCGGTGACAAACACCAGCACCCACCTTTGACGGTGACGAGCACRGAGCTGTAGGTCTGGCCCGCCAGGTTGGAGGCCGTGCAGGTGTACAGCCCGTTGTCGGTCTGCTTGCAGAAGAGGATCTTCAGCACAAAGTTCTCCTGGTCATCCTCGTAGATGACATGCCGCCGGCCTTCCAAAATGACCTCGTTGTCCTTCTTCCACACAATCACGGGCTTGGGCTCGCCCGTGACATAGCAGCTGAGCTTGGCGTGCTTCCCCTCGGTCACGCTGCACGTGCGGGTCAGCGCCCCRAAAGTGGCGTTGCGGGCCCCTTTGGTCAGTCCCGCCGCCCGCTCGTAGTCCCGGGACAGGCYGTAGCCGATGCCCGACAGCCCCTCCACGGCGGAGTACGGCTGGCCAGAGGCCGCGTCCAGAGTCCCGTGGGAGATGTCCATCTTCCTGATCTCCTCCCGCCTCTTCTGCAGGTGGGACAGCAGGGAGGCCGTCTTGCCGCAGCCGGCGTCAAAGTTACTGCCCGGGTTGGAGGAGCCGTGCGTTTCCACCACCAGCGCGGCCGAGGCGCTGGCAGAGCCCAGGAGATTCTCCGCCCGGCAGGTGTAGGTGCCGCTGTCCCCCAGCCGGGCGCACTGGATGGTCAGAGCGTTCGACTCGCCCGCAGACTCGATCTGGAAGCGCCCGGCGTCTGCCTTGTTCCTCAGGTATCTGCCATCCTTCTCCCAGTTCACYGACAGGGGAGGGCTGCCCTGCACTTTGCATTTGAACATGGCGTCCTCCCCCAAGGTCACTTTGATGTTGGAGGGTTTCTGGATGAAGTAGGGAGCGAACTCGGTGACCGTGGTCTCCTCGCCCACTTTGATGCTGACGGCGGCGAAAGCCTCCCCGATGGTGTTCTTGGCCCGGCAGATGTACTGCCCGCTGTCCTCCAGGTTCAGGTCGTAGATGGTCAGCCGATACAAATCCCCATCCTCCGTGGTTTTGAACCTTCCCCCAGACTGGACTGGCAGTTTATCCTTTTCCCAGCTCACCACTGGGATGGGGTTCCCGATGATCTGGCAGCTCAGGGTGGCATCCTTCCCCACAGACACCATAAATGCCTTGGGCCGGGTCAGGAAACGCGGGACTCCGCTGAGCGAGCTGTAATCCATCCTGGCTTCCTTCCTAAAGGGGGACAGAGAAAAGAGTCAGGAGAGAGCAGAGCTGAGGGTGCAGCCAGAGAATTGCTGCACTTCCCTGGTATCAAGACATTTGTCATCTGGAGCAGCYACGTTTTCAATGTYCTCTTCATTATGGGGGAGAAGGCCTGGGAATAATTCTGTTGTTGAAGATTTCTTATATTTAAGGTTAATAAATGTTTGGATAAGGTAACTCACCCATAGGAGTCACTGGGAAAAACAGAATTCTTTGAGTTGTTAGCACAGAAGAAACATGATGGTGCCTTCCATCTTTGGCACTTTAAAATTGGCCTGCAGTCATTCTGTGTGACAAATTCTGTCACCATAGGGAAACAAACGGGGGCTAAATTCTCAGAGAAGTGTCAGCCCATCAAGATACGGCCTCCGGAATGGAATCATGGCATGGTTTAGGTTGGAAGGGACCTTAAAGATCATCTCATTCCAGCCCCCTGCCATGGGCAGGGACATTTTTCATGTCCCAGGGTGCTCCAAGCCCTGTGCAGCCTGGCGTTGGGCACTTCTCTGTGGGTAACCCACTTCTCCGTGGATAACCTGTGCCATGACTTCACAACACCTGTAGTAAAGAATTTCTTCCTAATATTTCCTCTAAATCTATTCTCTGGCAATGCGAAGTCATTTCTCCTTGTCCTATGCTCATCTCCTCTTTGTCTCCTTTTCTGTCATTGTCCTTGCTCTTTTTAATTTTCCTCTTTTTCCTTAGCTATTTTTTTTATTGCCTTATTTTTACTTCCTCTTATTTCTGCTTCTACCACATGCTCCATGTCTCCCCTTGTCCTCTCTGGTTTTCACCCATTCCTAAACCTTGTTCTCTGAATCACATTCACACTCACACAGCCCTTACAACAAACACCTCTTCTGCAAGGCCCAGCCTTTAGCAGGACACCTGGATATTCCTGTCATKATATTGATGATATTTCTCTTTATTCCCAGCTTCCCAACCACTGAGGCAGAGCTCCTGGGATGCTGAAGGCAGGCAGTGAGTACCTACAGTTCATACAMAGTTCCTTCCAGGTGGTGTAGGGCCAGACATGGCTGCAGTGGGAATGCAGTTKGGGCACAGGCATTGAAAGGCTGAGAGAAATGGGATTGTTAAACCTGGARAAATGGAGAGTTCAGGATGACCTGATTGCACCTTCCATACCTGATGGGAGCCTACAGGAAAGGTGGAGAGAAACTACTTACAAGGGCCTGGAGTGACAGGACAASGGGGAATGAGAGCAAACTGAAAGTAAGTTTAGATGAGGTATTAGGGAGGAATTCTTCTCTRGGAGGGTGGGAGGTCCTGGCACAGGGTGCCCAGAGAAGCTGTGGCTGCTCCTGGATCCCTGACASAGTCCAAGGCCAGGCTGGACAYTGGGGCTGGAGCAGCCTGGGACAGTGGAAGGTGTCCCTGCCCATGACAGGGGGTGGAATGAGATGATCCTTAAGGACCCYTTGAACCTAAACCCAAACTATTGTGGGATTTTGTGATTATGATCACAGGAGTGCAAAGCCACGTGAAGGAACTGCTATGGGGAATGTTCCCAGCAATCCAGACAGTGCCACCCTCCTCCAAAAAAAGCCCTACAGGCCTTAGGGCTCACAGGAAAGATGTTCCATCTCCTGCTCATTGTCAGCTGCCTGAGAGGGAGCAGTGCWCTGACCTGCAGCTGTTTGGTGATAAAGACCAGCCAAGGGGACCAGGGTCAAGCTGCCTTCAGAATTAAAGCTCCTGCCAATCCTGGTGCCACCGTGTYCCCAGAAAGACAAAAGCAACCAGTGGTGCTGATCTTTACAGACTCCACCCATCCCTGTGCAGCTCGGGAGGAATCCAACAGCGACCGTCGCCTGCATGGCCCCACCAGAGACTACASAGATATTCCTTGTTCTTCACTGCTGCTTTCCCTTCTGCTGGAGTGAATCTACCTCTAATCCTCCATGATGCCTTTTCCATGGACTGGGTAATCCTTACTTTGACGAGCATAGCACAGCTAAAAACCTGGTTAATGTTTAAACCCTGTTAACACGAAGAACTGGGCACCAGCTGCCTCTCCCTGAGAGCAGGATTACACCCATCAACAGCTCTCTGCAAGGAAAGCTTCCCAGCTCCAACCCCCCCTGAAAGTCACAGAATYCTAGGATTTTCTGGGCTGGAAGGGACCTTTAAGCCCATCTCATCCCTGCCTGTGGCCCTGGACCCRGTTTTCCAAAAATATTTGAGCGCACCATTTCTCTTTGAGCTGTTTTATCTCTGGCTTCGTGATGCCAGACACCTATGTCCTGGCAGCTCCTGTCTGAGCCAGAGGAATGGTCCTGGTCCAGGTGGGCACATCCCTGTTTTTTCACCTTTAAAGTGCTGCACAGAGCAGAAGGACCAGGGCTCTGGGTGCTRTAGCTCAGAAAGGAAATAAAACCCAGTCACTGAGACAGAAATATCCTTCTTAATCCTACAGCAGTTTGGCTTCTCTGCTGGCCACACATCCACCCACTCTCTCACCCAATGGCAGGTGCTCTCACCATCTCCCTCCCTGCTCCAGCAGAAATCAGTAGGAGCAGGCTAAAAACCTGATTTAATTCCTAAAATCATCATTTTCCATCCTCCTCCAGCTCCTGTYAGTGCATTAATATTAATGTGCAAATCACTGATGGAATCAGGGAGTGAGGGTTGGATCAACCTGCTGCATGACCTTGGGAAAAATTATTATTTTCYCAATTTCTTGGCTCCCCTCCCACTTTCTCATACCAAGACAGGGATGGGCTTGCAAATAGTTATGTGCACAGAGTATATATGACAACGTACTTGCTGAGGTAAATGACAAATTAKGCATGGAAATTAATAGCAGATTACAATTTTCATTCCAATTATGCTGCTGGGGATTGAAAAACATGAGTTACCGTTAAATCCATCTGCTGGAAAAGGGGTGGCACAAAAATACAAAATTGTATTTGTTAGGAGAGCTCAATAAACTTTTGGACAACTGTTTCAGACACAGGATGGGATRCTTGGGGCTGTCCTGAGCAAGGCCAGGAGCTGGACTTGATGGTCTTTGTGAGTTTCTTCCAWACCAGGATATTCTGTGATCCTTGAAGATGGTATTGCTGAGCCAAACTTCAAAATTCATCTGGGTCACAGATCTAAGGCAAAACCAAATGTAATCYTTCTATATTTACCAGGAAAACCCCACCATGTCCTGGCTTATCCTGTGTGTCCCACTCCAAAGAACACACAAAATTACAAGAAGCAATCAAAGACTTTTCTCTTTAGATGAGATCCATCCATTCTAAAAATGATTCCATTTGGGTTGCTTCTGTTTCCTGGTATTAAGCAAATTTCATTATTCTACCACAAACTTTTGGAAATTAAAGAAAGAGGTTTCAAATATTAAATCTGGGAGGGGGGAAGAAAGGAATGGGGAAAAAATCACTTTTAATAAATGCTAAGAGGGTAAAGAATGATTGACTTAGAGTTACCAGTGYTAAGACCAACTGACTTTTTGTTCAGTGGCCCCCTTCAACATTAGTTGCGATGAATACACAGATCTATTTTTCTCTTGGTCTCAAAACTGGTCTAGAAATGTGTGAATTAGTTTGAACTTCTTTGTTTCCTCTTACCACCTCYAACCTCTGCTCTGAGCTGAACTTTAAAATGCATTTTCCACATGCACTTGTGCAGCTGCAAGCAGAAAAGCTGCATGAGTGGTTAGAAGGGGCAGACACRAGCCTGGGGCTTGAGCCAAAGTACACTCAAGTCAGTGGAAATTTCCACTGAAGTCAGTGGATTGACAATCAGARCCTTCTGCTCTTGTGGGGAAGGACCATTCCGATGCTCACAAGGGSGTGCTGAGATTGAGCTCAGCTCTGGAGAGCCCTGCAGAACCCTCCACTGCAGTAACCAAGAGTTCAAAATCAGAATACAGAGCTCAAGTCCTGGTATTGCCAGGCATTATCCTGAATTTCAAGCTGCACTGTGCCATCCAAGCACTTGGATCCACATTCAGAAGGCACTGCTGTGTCTMATCCTTTCTGGCTTCCTGCTGTCTCTGATAGATCCATCACTCTGACTTGYTTGCATCTTCATAGCATCAAAAGGAGCAGAAAAACAGAGTTGCTTCACTTTGCCATCAAAGAGCACGAAGATGGCTACAGAGACATGAGAGGAGCTGTTGGGAACCAGCCTGGGACGACCACCCAGGATTGGCTTCCCTCAATCTCTCTGCATGCTGTTTCCATCACTTGGGCCTCAGGACATGTATCCAYAGCTGGAGGAGAGCTCTGCTCTGCTGGAGCATTCTCAAAGCCTGCCTCTTACAGGAGCAGGAATGCTGCTCACTTCCTAAATCTCCTGTGCCTCCTCCTCTCCCTGCCCCTCCGTGCTAAGCTGTGCCCAAACACCTCCAGCAGCTCCCTGGGATCCCTGATAGTCAGAACAGTCAGAACTCAAGAAAAATGCTGCCCCAGAACACAATRAAACCACTGCCCCAGGCTGCTGATTTTGTTCCTGAGCTGCTGCAGCAAATCCACCCAAGTTGTTTCTTTCCAGCAGCCTCAAGGTCCAGCCTCCCTCTGTCATTGCCCCCAAACACTCAGCTGGTGTTTGCAACTTCTCCCCATCCAATACGAGATCCTGTGTCCACAGATCCCCTAAGGCAGGRTGAAACCCCACATCCCCTGCTCTTATCTACACTCAGCCAGCTTTCCCCACGTGCTCTCACACTCAACAGGTTTTTACACCATTATGAATGGCCAGGATGCAGAAGAAAACCCAGGGATCAATGAAAACTCTGCRTGGTCATTGTTATTTTACATCTTTTTCTAACATGGAAAGAAAAACAGTGTTTATTCCTTGCTCTGTCACTGGCTAACTTTCATAATTACGAGAAAGACCCTCCAATTCTTGTATCTTTAGCCCCGGTCTGAAAAAGGGGGAAAAAACTTGTTTTATGGGTGTTGGGASCATGAAATCCAGTAAAAGC